AGGGCGAGGTCTAATTTGGATCTGCCGCGATTACCCTCTATGCTGGACCCCCCAGCAGGCCTCGAAAGTGGCGACAGTTTCACAGATCGCAGCCCCCCCCCCCAGGGATGGCGAGGTCTAATTTGAATCTGCCGCGATTACCCTCTATGCTGAGCCCCCCAGCAGGCCTCGAAAGTGGCGACAGTTTCACAGATCGCAGCCCCCCAGGAATGGCGAGGTCTAATTTGGATCTGCCGCGATTACCCTCTATGCTGGACCCCCCAGCAGGCCTCGAAACTGGCGACAGTTTCACAGCCCCCCGCAGGCAAGACAGAAAGAGGCAGGAAAGAGGCGGGAGGCGGGAGGAGGAAGGACGCGACCACACTGCTCTATTCAAAACGAATACCCAACCAAGGAGGGTTGGGAAATAGTCAAAACATCGTCCCCAGACTATTGTTTGACTATTTTTGATTATTCCTCTTGAAGAGGGACAGGTCCGTCTTAACCTTTACCCTCGGGGCGAGGCGCTCTTGAGCGACATCGGCCGTACGAAAGGGGGGCCGCCCGCCGCACGATCCGTCCTCCTGCCCCGCTTATGTTGCATCTGTGGGAGCCTCGTGACCTTTCTGTGAGGCTTCTCAGGTCATCAAGGCTCCTCCTCCTCCTCCTCCTCCTCCTCCTCCTCCTCCTCCTCCTCCTCCTCCTCCGCCTCCCCTCTCCCCCTCCTCCTCCTCCTCCCCTGCTCCTCCTTCTGATCCTCCTCCCCGTCCCCCCCTCCTCCTCCTCCTCCTCCTCCTCCTCTTCATCCTCCTCCTCCGCCTCCTCCTCCTCCTCCTTCCTCCTCCTCCTCTCCTCCTCCTCCTCCTCCTCTCCTCCGTCCCCCTCCCCCTCCCCCCTCCCCCTCCCCCTCCCCCTCCCCTCTCCTCCTCCTCCTCCTCCTCCTCCTCCTCCTCCTCCTCCTCCTCTTCCTCTTCCTCCTCCTCCTCCTCCTCCTTCTCCCCCTGTCCTGAACCAGCAAGCTGCACGAACCTGGTTAGGGTGCTCTCCATCATCCTGCCGATGCTTTCGAGTGCGACGGCAAGAGCGTCCTGCGTCTTTGCGCAAAGTGCCATTCTCATTCTAGTGGCAACAGCGTTCGCGGTTCCTCGGAGGTCTGCTCTGGCCCCACGAAGGCGACCGCGACCTGCAGGAACACTTGATTCACGAAGGGCCTCCATCCCCATTGCACTCGGAGGGATGCGAGGATCCGCACAAACACTATGGTTCAGAGTCTCAGCTCGATTAAGTCGCCTGTTGCCGAGCCGGTGCCCCCCCACTGTCGCCAGCCTCGCAGTACAATGTGGTGGAGAAGTTGCTGTGGAGCTCCTCTCCTCCTCCTCCTCCTCCCCCTCCTCCTCCTCCTCCTCCTCCTCCTCCTCTTCCTCCTCCGCCTCCTCCTCACCCTTCCGTGGCCTGTTTCGGCACCCAGGGGATGTGTTCCCTTTTCCTGCTCGTGATGATGTTGAAGATACTGGCCTCGAGGTTATTTGGGCCAACGACCGTACCTCCAAATCGCTTAGTTTATCTGGGCACATCTTTGTGGACGGGTCCTGCGTTGCGCACCCTGTGAAAGAACTCTCCAGGGCTGGGTGGGGGATTGTGATGGTCAGTGACGAGGGAGAGGAGATCTGTCGCATTAGTTGTCCCCTTTGGGCCCCCAACCTCCAGACTGCCCAAGGGGGAGAGTTTGGGGCTTACGCTGTTGCCGCAATGCTTGCCCAGCCAGGTAGTTCCATTTACTCCGATTGTAAGAATGTGGAAGTACAAGCAAATGAGCCGCTGCTCAAGGCTCTGTCCTACCAACGTGTGTATTCTGGCTTTTTGCTCCCCACCCACCGCAAGCTTTTAGAAGGGGTGTTTAAGATCAAGGCGCATGTTGAAGATTCCTGTGACCTTACCGAGCTGGAGCGGTTTTGGAAGCAAGGCAACGACCTTGCGGATCTGCTTGCCAAGAGCTCGCTTGCCCGCCACCCGCAACCCGACCCCGAGGATGTGGTTTGGCGCGAGAGATGCCTCTCGGTCGCCCAGTGTGTCATGCGTCTTTCTACCGAGCTGATGCCACAGTGGCCTCGGCTAAACATGACAGGGGTCCCGCTTGTGCCAAAGCCCCTGCGGCCTAAGATAGAGCCGATGTCCCACCAGTGGACTCGGGTGTCTTCGTTTTGGCAGTGCATTGAATGTCTCAAGGTTGCTAAGGGCGTACCGCGGACGAACCCTGACGGGTCTCGGCCTGGAGGTCTCGACCCGCCTGCCCCAGGGGCGTGCCTTAGAGATTCCAAGCTGACTCCTGCGGTGCTTTCAGCCCTCAGGCACAACTGTATCGCTTTGCTATGCTCCGACGGCGCTCCCCTCACTATTTGTATGCGATGCTATGCCTATTCTTCCCACGGGCAGCCTCGCAATTTGCTTAGACAATGTGACGGCCAACCACAGAGTGCAGGCGCCAAGTCTGCCTGGAGTTCAGTGGGGGCTGGACGCCACCCCAAGCGCAAAGGCGTTTCAGTCGAGGTTGGCCCCTGGTATGAAGATTTGCAGCAGGAGGAGCGGCCACGGCGTCTCACCGACCAAGAAAGGGAGCTGCGGACAGCCCAGCTGGTGCGGAGGCTCGTCACCGCTGCAGGGGGGGCATCGGCCCCAGCGGGCGTGGAGCTGGAGGTGGATCCTCCACCGTCGGTACCGCCACAGGGGCAGCAGCACGATCGAGTCTTTGACCTTTCGTCCGAGTCGTTGTGCACCGTCGAAGCTGCTGCCCCTTCGGCTTTCCCTCTTGGACCACGGGACGTGGAAGAGGAAGCAGTCTTTTCGTGGTTTGGCTTGCCTGGTGAGAGTCCCTCCCAGCAGGCCGTGCGTCAGGTGCCCGAGCCAGCCTCCTCGGTTGGAGCGTTCGGCCGAGATCGAGTTGCCTCCGTCCTCGAAGAGGAAGTGGCCTCGCTCGTCGCCGTCGCTGCACCACAGTCTGACGACTCAGATTAGGAGATGCAGCATGCGTCCTCCGCGCGTGGTGCGTCTCGCCCAGACCTCATTCTCTTCTGGTCGTGGGCTTAGGGGGGCAGGCGGTGAGCCACAGGGGATCCTCCCTTCTTGCGGGAAATCGCCCCGTGGCTTTCGCGCCTGCCCTCCTTTATTTGTTTCACTGCTCGCTGGCTCGCTTCAGGCCAGATAGCAGGGGGCGACGCCTGTTGATCGTCGCCCTGGGTTGCCACGGTTGATGTCAAAAAAAATCCTCCTCACCCTTCTCCTCCTCCTCCTCCTCAACGGACGGGGTCCGAGGGTCGCCTCACTGCGTCGCCGGTGCCCCATGCGCTGCGACACTGGCCACGGCCGTGGCCCAGACGACACGGCTGCACCGTCGATGCGTCGGTGATGTAGCAACGATGCAATACAATACTCGGACCGCATCCGTTCCTGCCCCATCTCGGGAGCTTGGATCTGCCTCCTGTGTGTTCTCTCTCTCTCTCTCTCTCTCTCTCTCCCTATCCTGGTCCTCATCATCACTCTACCTCCGACTCCTCCTCTTCCTGATGCTTCCTCGTTCCTCCTTCTTACGCCTTACTTGTTCGTCCTTGCTTCACCTCCTACTCCCCCTCCTCATCACCATCACCACCAACATCACCATCACAACCACCATCGCCATCATCACCATCATCATCGCCATCATCGCCATCATCACCAACATCATCTCCATAATCATCATCATCATCATCATCATCATCAGCATCATCATCATCATCAGCATCATCATCATCATCATCATCATCGTCATCATCATCATCATCATCTTCATCATCATCATTGGCATCATCTTCAACCGCATCATCAGCATAAACAGCATCATCATCAGCATTACCATCATCATCACTAGCATTATCATCACCACCAACAAATCATCCATACCATCATCATCAACAACATCGCCATCATCAACACACTCAGTATCATCGTCACCATCATCAGCACCGCGTTCATCATCATTATCAGCAACAGCAGCATCATTAACATCATAATCATCACCATCATCAACATCATGACCACCATCCTCATCATCACCATCACCATCCTCATCATCACCATCATCCCAATTCTGATCATCAACATCACCACCATCGTTGTCATCATCAGCAGCACCATCATCATCAGCATCATCATCATCATCATCATCATCTTCTTCGTCATCATCATCATCATCATCGTCACCATCACCAGCATCACCATCATCACCATCGTCATCATCATCAACATAATCATCGTCACCGGCATTATCATCGGCATCATCAACATCAACATCAACATCAACATCATCAGCATCATCATCATCATCATCGTTGTCATCATCATCATCATCATCATCATCATCATCATCATCATCATCATCATCATCATCATCATCATCATCATCATCATCATCATACTCATCAACATCATCATCACCGTCCTCATCCCCATCATCACTTCCCCTGTTCCTCGTTCCTCCTGCTCTTCATTTCCTCCATCCCCCTCCTCTCCTTCCACTCCTGATCCTCCTCGTCCGTACTCGTCGATGCCCATCCCGACATCCACCGTGGCGACGCACACCGGCATGGCGCCCGTGAGGAACCGGGTGTGCGTCGAGTCGCGCTCCTCACCGCTCTTCGCGCCACTTTCGTCGCCCCCGGGGGGAGGAGGAGAGGAAGAAGGAGGAGGAGGAGGAGGAGGAGGAGGAGAAGGAGGAGAGGGATTGAGGAAAAGAGCACGACGGGGGGGGGAAGAAGCCGAAGGAACAGAGGATGACGATGGTGGTGAAGACGAGGAAGAGGCGGAGGAGGAGGAGTGGAAGGAGGAGTGGGAGGGAGGAAGGGAGGAGGGGACCAGGAGCGAAGAGCAGGGGAGGGCACGCGCTCCTCCCTCGACAGGCCGGCGTGGTAGCAGCCCACAAGGCCCCTGGCCGGTTGTGACAAAAAACTGCGCCGTGGCAGCCGCTTCCCCCCTCCCAGTGCCCCCCCTCCTGCTGGGCTGCCGGGCAGGGACTGGCGACCGGTGGATGTGGGACTATGAAAGTGAGAAGGTGGAGGATCAGGGCGGGGACGGGAGTGGCGAAGAGAAGGGCTAGGATGGGAATGGATACCGGCGGGGGTGGATCGGGCTGGGCTGGACGAGGAGGAAGAGGGATGGCACGGAAGTGCAAGGCTGACGAGGAGGACTGATTAGCAGGACGACGATGACGTCTGACACAGCCTGTGCTGCAAGGAGCGAGCAGGAGGCACGATGGGGGCACGAGGAGCCACCATGGGAAGGCGGGAGGTTCAGAAGCCAGAAGGCGGAGGGGAGAGAGGCGCAACCGGCAGGTGCTGGCGCTGTTGCCGGAGCACGCGCGCCAACGCGCACGGCTGGCGCGGCTGGCAGCGGCGGCAACGGCAGCGGCGGCAGCGGCATCGGGCGGCGCTGGGCAACGTCAGAGCGAGGGGGGAAAAGCGGGGCGGTGATCGCCCGCGCATCGCGGCTGCTCCTGCAAGGGAGGGCGGCACCGGGCAGCACGTGCCGCACGGAGGAGGCCGGCGAGGGCGGGGCCAAGTGCGGCCGTGGTGCCCCACCTCCGCGGCCGAAACGCAAATCTGGAAGCACCGCCTCAGGCGTTGCCGCTCCTCTCGCCGAAGCTGCCCGCAGGCGCTTCCTGGGACGCCACAGCGCCGCACCCGCGGGAAGCCGAACGCCTGGAGTCGACTGACGAGCGACCACCGCGCAGAGCTGCGGGCGGATGCTGCCCGCAGCCGCGCGAACACTGAGTATGGTCGCCCGCAACTGACTGAAAAGTGGCCACGACGCAGAACCCACACCCTGGCAGCGGGAGAGGCGCGCGCGGCCTGGCAGCGCGGCGACGCGCGCCTCGCTGCCAGGGGCGCCGGCGCAGTCGGGGGCCGCGCCCGCGGCTGCCCTCGTCCGACGTAGCGCGGAGTGCGACGGCCCTGGACCCCGCGCACGTGCCAAGGTTTTTCTCGCATCAAAGGCCACAAGAAAAAAACAAACAGATTTCGAAGCAGATCCGCAACCCCAGTCCGGAGGGGGGCGAAGGCGAAGGCCTATGCTGCACTATGCAGCGCTGTACCGCCCAGGCCGAATTGGCGACCCAAAAACACGGTCGCATACATGCCAAAAGGGACGCAGCGGAGCAGGCCCGAGCCGGGCGGGGCCGTCGAGGGAGGCAGCGCAGAGCAGAGCGCCAGGGGGCAACGAGGCGGCATCTCGGCGCAGGGCTGGACCTAAACTGTGTTTTCCGTTTTCGTTATGTTCCCAACCATCCTGTGGTGTTGGGTCCTCGTTACGACGAGACAGCGCCCCGTGTTCCTCCTCCTCCTCCTCCTCGTCCTCCTCCTCGTCCTCGTCCTCGTCCTCCTCCTCGTCCTCGTCCTCGTCCTCCTCCGCCTCCTCCGCCTCCTCCTCCTCCTCCTCCTCCTCCTCCCCCTCCCCCTCCTCCTCCTCCTCCTCCCCCTCCTCCTCCTCCCCCTCCCCCTCCCCCTCGTCCGCTTCCTCCCCTCCTCCCATACCCGCCTCCACCCTCCGCGCGTCCCGCCTTCGGCACACCCCTCCCGCGCCCCAGCTCGTGGCTCCACAGGGGGGCTCCCGCGACGGCCCCAGACGGCTGCGTGCGCCCGGCGGCCCCGCGCCCCCGTCGGCGCACCCCTCACGAGGACCGTGGCCCCACAGAGAGCTCCAGCGAGGGTTGGAAGCTGGGCGAGGGCTGGCAGATCCGTGGCTGCTAAAACGGTCTTGCCGGAAGAAGAAAAAACAGGTTTCCGAAATCAAGCTCAGCGCACTAAATAAAACACGGGCTGCTTCCCGGAAGAAGAAAACTAACAATTTCCCGGAGCTCCGTTTTAGCAGCCACGGGTTTGCCCGCCTTCGCCCAGCTTCTGAGAAAGCTCCAGCGGCCGCGTTCGCACGGCTGCACCCCGCTCATGTTGGTACACCCTGCGGGGCCACGATCCTCATGAGGGGTGTGCCGAAGTGGGCGCGGGGCCGACAGGCGAACGCAGCCACTGGCGCCTTCGGTGGGTCTCCCTGTATAGCCACGATCCTCGTGGGACCTTCGGTGGAGCTCTCTGTGGGGCCACGATCCTCGTGAGGGGTGTGCCGAAATGGGCGCGGTGCCGTTGTGCGAACGCTGCCACTGGCGCCTTCGGTGGAGCTCCCTACGGGGCCACGATCCTTGTGAGGGGTATGCCGAAATGGGAGCGGTGCCGCCAAGCGAACGCAACCGCTGGGGCGTTCGGTGGAGATCCCTAAGGGCCACGCAACGTGTGAGGGGTCCTCCAGGCGCCAATGGCTGCGTTCGCATGGCGGCTCCGCGCACAGTTCGGCATACCTCTCTGCAAGATCGTGGCCCCACAGGGTGCTCCACCGAAGGCCCCACTGGCCGCGTTTGCATGGTTTCACCGCGCTAAATTTCCGCCCCATAGGGAGCTCCACCAAAGGCCGCAATGGCTGCGTTCGCATGGCGGCACCGCGTCCATTTCGGCACGGATCGCGGCCACATAGAGAGCTCCACCGAAGACGCCAGTGGCTGCGTTCGCACGGCGGCACCGCACCCATTTCGGTATACCCCTTACAAGGGTCGTGGCCCCAGAGGGAGCTCCACCGAAGGCGCCAGTGGCTGCGTTCGGATAGCGGTACTGCACCTATTTCGGCACACCCCTCACGAGGATCGTGGCCACGTTGGGAGCTCCACAGGAGGTCCTGATGGCCACGTTCGAATGGCGGCACCGCGCCTATTTCGACACACCCCAAACACGTTCCGGAGCTCCACTGAAGGCCCCAGTGGCCGCGCATGGCTGCACGACGCCCATTTCGGCACACCCCTCACGAGGATCGTGGCCCCACAGGGAGCTCCACCGATTACCCATGTGGCAAAGTTCGTATGGCGACACGGCGCCCATTTCGACACACCCCTCGCGAGGATCGTGGCCCCACAGGGGGCTCCACCGAAACCAACATCCACAACGCGGTACTCACAATCGTATATGGTTGGGCCCTTCGCCTGGATCATCTTCGTGTTCCCTTGTTCTGTCTTTGTTCCGGCTTTGCTTCAAAACAACATCTCAAATCGAAAACGGCCCACGACATCGCGAGAGCTCAATTTGCCTCGGCGCCTCACATGAAAGCGACGACGGTATCGGACCAGCGTTTGGGTGGGCCAGCTTACCGCCGTTGGCGACGCGGCTTTGACATCACCCGCTGGACCACCCAACATCCCCATGCACACAATGAGCTGCATGCATGCACCCACGTGCACGCCGAATATCTGTACGCAGTTCCCCGATATGCAACACTGACTTGCTGTAGACGTAGCCTTGTGCTTCGAACCACTCTTCGCGCAAACGCATTGGCCGACGCGTTGCTTATAATGACTGCATCGCTGGATAAACCACCGTGCTCGTCTGCCGTATACTCCGCCTCGGTGTCAGGATAAGCATTAGCTGCATGCTCTGTTAGTTTGCTGGAACTTGTCTTCCACAATTTGGTCAAGCCCATGTCCATCGAACAGTGTTGTCGACACCGTGCTTTCGAGGAATGGAAGACCCGAATTGGTGAACTGCTGCTGGCCCGAATTGGTGAATTGTGGATATCAGCTGTTCTCCATCCCGTAGAGGTGATGTGGTATTGTCGTCGTGCCAAGCACCTACTGCCATGCACCTGCAAGTGCATCGACCTCGCATGCCACGTTTTTTGGCGAGGAGGCGTGAGGATCATGACAATGAGGCTGAGGAGGAGCAGGAGCAGCAGGAGCATAAGAGGATCACCCCGCGGCGCAGATGTTCAAAGGGGAACGAATAATGCCATAAAACATAAACCCTAAAAAATTGGAGGTCCGCGCGGATTTCTCGGACCGGCGCTGGGACCCCCTGGCGGCGCCTCCAGCGCCGCCCCTGGCGCGCTCCGCGCGCCAGGGAGGGGAACCCAGCGCCGATCCGAGAAATCCGAGCGGACCTCCGAGTTTTTATGTTTACTTCACCTCCTCCTCCTCCTCATCCTCCTCCTCCTCCTCCTCCTTGTTCGGTTCCCCAGTTCAGGCCCCGCCTGGCGTCGGATTTGGAGGCCAGCGCGGCGACGCCCCATCCGGACAGGCTCTCCTGCAGCATCGCAGCCGCGGCCTTTCTCCGCGGTGGTCCTGCCACTCCCAAAGGACCAGGGGCCAGGGGGGGGGGCGCCCCGCAGGCGGGAAGGAGGAGGTCGCAGGGAGGAGGAGGAGAAGGAGGAGGAAGAGGTCGCAGGGAGGAGGAGGAGGAGGAGGAGGAGGAGGAGGAGGAGGAGGAGGAGGAGGAGGAGGAGGAGGAGAAGGAGGACCAGGACCATCTAACCCTGGCCACGCCAATACAGAACCGGAGCGATGACAACTGCGAGGATGGCACTGGATGAGGACACATTCGAGAAGGATTCCAGGGTCTGGAAGCCAGTGGAAAGCCAATCGTGGATCGGCCATGGGTATCACCGCCGCCCTCATCAGACAAGGAGCCCTCCAGGGTCTGAAGCCCCTGGACACATTCCTTAACCAACGCCCCCACCGTACGTGCCCAGGCGAGCGGACAAACACGTGAACATGCACTTTCGGACGTTTGCGGGCGGCAGGCGTTGGCCGGCACTGGACCCCCTCCGGCCACCCTCCCCGACTCCCGAAGCGCGTGGGGGGCGGCGCCGATGCCTCCTTCCAGGGGTGCTGGGGAGGGAGTGCGGGGGCGGCAAGCATCTGCCGCCCGCGGACACCCGAAGTTCACGAGTTGCGTCTCCTTCGGCTACACGCAAAGAGCGGCCCTGGGCAGGAGTGACCCTTGGTGCGCGGCTTTGGGGGGGGGCTGCGGAGAGGCCTGACCCAAGCGCGTAAGTCGCCACTATAGCGCATCGCGTTCGGCGGCCTTGGGACCCCAATGGGCCCGCACGTGAGGTCACTCCGGCGAAGGGTCACTTGTTACGTGTAGTCGACTCCTGGCATCCGCATACAGTGGAGGCTGGTCCACAAGAAATCTTCCACAAGAAACCTAACCCGGAGACCCCAGGGCGTCCATTGGTTCTTGGTGCGGGAGCGCCACGCCTTCCATCGCAAAAAACCATCGACACCCAAGAAGCCCAGGGCACCCTGGAGGCGAGCAGGGTGCTTCTTGGCATGGGCCTCCACTCTGTATCTGAGGTGCCCCTTTTGTTCGACGCGGGGGGGCCCCTGGCCTCAGGTCGGGCATGTCCCCCTACAGGCCGATTTTGAACGAAACATAAAAATAGCCAAAACATGTGCAAACATGACCAACACATAATCGAACAATCGTCCTCAGACATTTTTTTGGCCGTTTTTGAATATCCCTCCTGTAGAGGGACACGCCCGACTTAACCCCTGGCCCACCCCCCTTAGGAGTGGCGGGGCCAGCGCCGGCCTCTGTGGTGTCCCTGGTGCCGCAATAGACGATGGTGGGCCTGATGCCCTCCGCGCTGGCGGCCTCGCCGTCGCCGCCATGGCCGCCGTCGTCCCCCGCCCTACGCGGCCGCGAGCGAGGGGGAGGGGAAACGAAAAGGAGAAGGAGGAGGGCTTCGCAGAAGGGTCGGAAGCCCCCAGGACTTCTGCTGAGAAGCTTTCCGTGAGCCTTTTCCCCGCGTGTCCCCCTACAGGCGGATTTTTTGGGGAAAAATGCAAGTACCCAAAAAGTATCCCCAAATACCAGGAAAAACTCAAAAAAATCGTCCCCAGACTATGTTTTGACTATTTCTGAATATCCCCACTGTAAGGGGACAGGCCCGACTTAACCCTACTCGGCCGCGAGCGGAGAAAAGGCTTCCTCAGAAGGGTCGGAAGCCCCCGGGACTTCTGAATGAGAAGCTTCCTTCGGGAGCGGCAAAGAGGGGGGTGTCGAAGAGGGGGGTGTGCAAATCATGACCGGCGGCATGTGCGCGGCCCAGCGGGCGGGCCAGGGACGTAATGAAATAAGAACAGGCGCCATGAGATCTGGGGAAATATCATGGCCCACGCCATGATATCCACCCCCCTAGCCATCACCCCCCTCTTTTCCGCCTCCGATTCCTGCGAGCCTCTCCTCCCCGAAGGCGGGGCACACTTCTTCTCGGAGGGCGCGAGAGCTCTTCTGAGAAGCCCCGCCGCCCTCTGAGAAGGCCTTCTCCCTCTCATTCCCCCCCTCGCTCGCCGCCCCCCTACGGGTAGGTCGGGCATGTCCCCCTACAGGCGGATTTTGAGTGAAAAATGAAAACTATTCAGAAAAATGCACCCCAATAGCCTGGGGTATGCGATTCGCTTCCTGTGAAGGACACAAACCGATTTCCACGGTCACCCTGGCACCATCAACGCGTGGTGCCGAATCCGAATATATGCATAGCGCCAGTGGTGGGCCAAAATGTATTCCAAACATACAATATTGTATCATATTATTGTTATGTGAGTTGCGGTAATACCGTATTCCATAGCATGCGCGCCTGCAATAATATATAATGCGTTGGGTTGTCGACGCAGTATTGTATTCTGCATGGCACTATTCGTAAATGTTGCGTGGGCTTCGTGGGATAATCTACAAAAGCCGCCTTGACAATTGAAACCGTTGTTTGCGTCATACGCCACGCCGCGGCCTAACGATCGCATCACCTATCCCGCCGCGTCGGGAAAACCAGGGCCGTCTAGGCTGCGGTAGAAAAGCGTTGCTCCAGATAGTTTTTGGGAATCACCAGCGCCAGAGCATCCACTTACAATCGTTGCGGCTGTGCTGGGACACCCGTGCCCAGCATGGCCTCCCACATAGGCTTAGTCCCAGTTGTGTTTGGAGGTTTCGTTTGTGCTTGACCTCTCGCGCGGTACCACGTGCTTATTATAATGCAGTGCGCGAACACTGTAGTGCACACGAGCCTGTGTACCATCGACCTTTGACCGACGTTGCCGTTCGTTGCAAAAAACTCCTGTTCCTCCTCCGTTTCGTCCTCCTCTCCATCGTCCTCCTCCTCCTCCTCCTCCTCCTCCCCTTTCTCCTCCTCCTCCTCCTCCTCCTCCTCCTCCTCCTCCTCCTCCTCCTCCTCACCTCCCTCCTTCTCCTCCTCCTCCTCCTCCTCCTCCTCCTCCTCCTCTTCCTCCTCCTCCTCCTCCTCCTCCTACCTCCTTCCCCCTCCCTGCTCAGAATTCAGACGATAGCTATTCTGCTGGGGCGCAAGAAACAATGATTTCCGAGCTTCTCTCTCCTCTCCCGTCCTCCCCTTCCCCCCTCCCTCTTCTTCCCCTCCCCGTTCCTACCCCCTCCTCTTTCTTCCCCTCCCTCTCTCTCTCTCTCGCTCTCTCTCTCTCTCTCTCTCTCTCTCTTTCCCTCTCTATCGATATCTGTACGTGTCACTTGTCCTCGCTCAAAGAACTTGCGGGGCGGACGGGTCCAGCTCTGCGCAGCCACTGTGCAGCTTGCACGGCAGCTCATCGCCTCAAGAACATTGCGCTGGATACTTTCCTCGCCCGATCTACCTTGGAGCGGCCCCAATCAGTGATCTCACGGTACAACGGGAACGCAGTGGTCGAGCCATCGACGTCGACCAACTTGGTCAAGGTGCAGTGGTAGTTCTGAGAGTTGAAGGCCTCGACGGTGACAGGTACATTCTCGATCTTGTGCGTGGCCGTCGGTGGTGGACCCGCCTGTTTCTTAGCTTTCTTTTTTGGTCTGGCCTCGCCATCCCCCGTCTCCTCGTTCTGATGGGGAAGCGGCGGCACCAGGAGCACAATGCTGCAATCGCTGCGGCCGACATTCATGGCAGCCGTGCCGTCCACGTAAAGTGCCGGGCTCCCGCTGCCACCTCCAAGGGGGAGGCATACCGCCTTGTTGAGAATGGTGGCCCAAGCCTCATCGACGATGCGCCCGAAGAACATCAGGTCGCACGCGCCAGTCCCCGCTCTCTGGACTCCGTGTTTCTGAGCTCCACCTTTCTGCGTGCCGATGCCCTCGATGATTAAGTTATTTCCCGTGCTACTACCAGCCTGCGGTGCGACGTACATGTTGGCGAGGTGCCCATTGACAATGGATTGCAGCTTGGTCGTGATATCCCGCTTGATCGCTTCTGGGGCCTGCAGCTCCTCATTCTCGGTCTCTTTCTGCATCAGCTTATCCCACCACTCATGGATTGGAAGCGGCTGCGGCTTCGACTCCTCTGTAGCCTCAGTCGCTCCACCCGCCTTCTCTGCATCTTGCTTCGGGGTGAATTGCTGAGACAGCTTATCGAACACGGCGTGAAGTGGATCTTGCATGATGTGCAGGGCCTTCAACTCCAGGTGGTACTTCTGGTGGAATTTGTCCATGATCTTGGCGGTGTTTTGATTCCGATCGGACGGGAAGAGATCGACCCCCTCACATAAGACGAGGTTCCTTGGCAGCTCAACCCCTGCATATTGAACAACCGCCTTCATCTTCAGCGAGGGAGTCTTCATGAGCACCTGCTTGGATGCCTTTCGCCTCTCCTGGAACCCATGCCCACCGTTGGCCATAACGAACTCGAAAACTCTCGGCGCTTATCTCCATCAAGTGTTTGACGAACGAAACAAAGTCGAGCGTACTGGCAGCCCGCAACTCCAATACCTTATCTGCATTTGCGCACTTCACGGTCTGGTAGTCCCTCGCGGTCGTGATCGTCGTAGAGAAGATCTCGAACATGGGTGCCAGCAAGCTTGGGCAATAATTCTTGTTGACGACGTGGGCGCCCTCCATCAGATTGCACTGCTGGCCCCCCAAAGACCTGATAGAATTGACAACAATCAGAAATCGAAGCTCGTCCAGACCATTGGGTGGCACGTTCTTTTTGAGAATCTCCGAGAACGGTTCTCTGGTGAGGAGGCCTTGCACGTCGGAGTTCCCGTCCGCATTGATCTTGGCGGTGTACTTCGCGATGTCGGTCCACTCGGTGGGGGCGGTGGTCAATGCCCTCGTGGCGCAGCAATCTGCGAACTGCATCATCGCCTCCTTGTGCGTGCTGTACCTGCCACCAATATTGTTGGCGTGCGTCAGCAATGCAATCAACGACTCTGACATGGCCTGCGCTGCCTTCGCGTTCTCGCAGATGGACTTCTCGAAAGGCTTGCAACTGTTCAAGAACTCCAACGAAGCCTTCAACGGAGGAGGGGGAAACGGAGGAGGAGGGGGAAGAGGAAGACGGCGGAGGAGGAGGGCGGCGGAGGAGGAGGAAGACGGCTGGAGACACATATACTACAGGACAGCTGGATACAACTATATCTCAGGTCGGCTGGAGACAAATATACCACAGGACGGTTGGACACATCTATACTATAGGAGGAGGAGGAGGAAGAGGAGGAGGAGGATGAGGAGGAGGAGGGGGAGGAGGAGGCTCGGAGGAGGAGGAGGAGGGGGGAGGGTGATCCAACGTACAATGACATTAGCTACCCCTGATAACCTGGCCCGCAGGGACCAAATCATCGAGCTTTGCGGTCGCGGCCGAGACCCCCATATCCATGGCCCCAGCTTCGAATACCACGCCCGCGTCGCTGAGCAGCGCCTGCGCCTCCGCTGCGTCAGCGTCTGAAGGCCTGACTTGGAGCCGCCGTCCTGCACGGATGATCGACGCTTTCATCAGATGGCGAAGGGGTGCCCCGTGCCCAACCTTTGATGTCCTCGGGCTTGCCGCCGGCCGTGCAGGTGATGCCGTCGTTCAGGATCGCGTAGAAAGCGACCTCCTTGGCGGATTTGATCTTCGTCACCTGCGTGCCTGACTCGTCCAACTGCATCATCCTCATGAGCTCTGACTCTAGGTGGCCAAGACCTGTCATTGTGGAAGAGACCTCAAGCGCGATGGCACCCGCGTTGGGCGCAGCCTCCATGGCCACGACCGCTGCGGAGGCTGCCGAGGCTCCGTCTTGAACGGGTGCTGGTGCAGCCGCGCGTGTCGGCCGTCGCCCGACTTTCACGCCGCCCCCGCCTCTCCCTCGACCGCGGGCCTTTCCTTTCGCCTTGGGAGCGCGCCCTTGCCCTTGACGACTGCTGCGTCTGCGCCGAGTTCCAGGGCGAGGCTCTTGCACCCGATCTCCGATGCCTTCTTCAGAAGGGGGAGGCCCGTCGGCCTCAAGGGGCAGACGCCCCACTCACCGTTGTGCTTTGGGACAGACAGAAGCAGCAGGGTCACGATCATGCGCGGCGCATCCTTCTTGAGAATACGGAGAAGGTCAGCAGCGCATGACCATGCCTTCTCCAATTGGCCCTTCGGCATCAAGGTAAAGTCAGACTCTGTCCCGAAGCGGCTCACGACCTCATCCCGGACGGTCTTGCCAGCAAACGGTCCTACCATGATCGTGGTCTTCGGAGCGTTTTGAAAGAACGTAGATGTCATTGAGAAGTTGTGGTAGGATTGCCACCTGTCCATAAAGCAAGCGCTCGCAACCTCCATCTTGGTGTCCTGGTAGAACTTCTCCCCCATGCGTTCCCGTGTCCACTGTAACATGTCCATATTATTCTCCATGGCT